GTGCTGGTCGGTGCGGTTGATTTTCTGGACCAGCCGACGATCGCGTTCGTCAGGCTAGCAGAGGGCGTGTTCATTCCATCGATCACGGAAGTCACGATACCAGTAAGATTCATGTTCACCTTACTGGGCCCGAGGAACGCTGATCTAGATTATCACGAAATCGGTAGATCGATCGCCACCCTGATGGCCAATACGTCGTTCCATAAAGTTGCGTACAAAGCGAACGAGAGACGCGAGCTTCTGTCCGCGATCAATGAGTTCTTGGACGACTCTATCGTCCTGCCTCCTGGTGATTGGGAGAGACAGGCGTTGCTGCCGTTCAGCGAGCTCAAGGCGAAAAGCGAGGCGATTAGATTGCGGAAAGCCAAAGCGCTCGAGGACAAGTTCAAGCCTATACAGAGCGAAGCTGCTGTGAAAAAAGGTAAGTTTAACAACGTCTCTATGACATTGGAATTAAAGAAAAGAATGGCTACAAGTGATTGGACACTTGGTTTATATACTCGTAGCTCTTCTTGCTGGCGAAGAAGAGAAGAAACCTCCTGGCGACGATGATCCACTTCGAAGAACCAAGCGTCCGTTTGGCGGCCTCATCAACGATATCAAGAGACGCTATCCTTTCTACTTGTCCGACTTCACCGACGGCTTGAGCTCATCTTGTTTAGCAGCGGCTATCTTCATGTACTTCGCTGCTCTCTGCACGGCAATCACTTTTGGCGGTTTAATGAGCGACAAGACGCACAATATTATTGGTATATCGGAAACCTTGGTCTCTGGCTCCTGGACAGGAGTGATAATGGCTCTGTTCTCCACTCAACCTCTGGTCATCATTGGCACAACGGGTCCATTGTTGCTGTTCGACGAAAGCTTGTACAACTTCTGTTTGGCGAACGAGCTGGAATTTTTAACCGTGAGAGTTTACGTTGGAGCATGGATGGGTATCATAGCTTTGGCTATCGCCTGTGTCGAAGGATCTGTGTTAGTTAGACTGTTCACCCGTTTCACCGAGGAGATCTTCACAGGCTTGATTTCTATCCTGTACATTGTCGAAACGTTTATCAAACTGTACAATTACTTCGTGAAGAACCCGCTGCTCGACGAATACAGTTTCATTCCTGAAACGAACGAAACGATATATTATCAGGAGCCGTTGAACGTGACGGAGATCAAGGTCGTTTCACCGGAGACCGGCGAAATAATAGCTATACCGGTAGATAAACCGCAATCCCTGATACCAGGATACAACGTCGTTGGATTATTGATCAATCAACCGAATACCGCGTTAATGTGCACGATATTGTGCCTTGGTACTTTCCTCGGTGCTTACTACCTGCGTATATTCCGTAACAGTCATTACCTCGGTCGAAGCGCCAGAAGAGCTTTCGGTGATTTCGGTGTACCGATCAGTATCATCGTGTTCGCGTTGATCGATTACTTGGCCAAGGTGAAGACGGAGAAGCTACTGGTTCCTGAAGGACTAACGCCGACTTTGCCTGGCAGAAATTGGCTCGTATCACCAGCTGGAATACAGAAACCTATTCCCCTGTGGATGGCCATGGCCTGCATCGTACCTGCGTTGCTGGTTTACATTCTTGTTTTCATGGAAACTCAAATCTCCGAGTAAGGATTACTTTCCCCTCTTCTTCTCTCTCTCTCTCTCTCTCTCTTTCTTTCTTTTCTTTTCCTATTAGAATCTATGAAAAAAAAAAAAGATAATGGAATAGAAATTTCCTAAGGTCTATAGTGTTCCCTTTCTCGTAGGCTAATCATCGACAAAAAAGAACGAAAACTGCGAAAAGGTAACGGGTACCACATGGATATAGTGGTGGTGTGCCTGATGAATGTCGGGTGTGGTTTAATGGGCGCCCCGTGGTGTTGCGCCGCCTCGGTTCGATCGTTGACGCACGTCTCAGCGGTGACGGTGATGTCCCGCACTCACGCTCCCGGGGACAAGCCGCACATCGTCGAAGTGAAGGAGCAGAGAGTGAGCGCTCTATTGGTCGCCGTGTTGATTGGCGTGAGCGTGCTGATGGCACCTCTGTTGCGACGCGTACCAATGTCCGTCCTTCTCGGGGTGTTTCTCTACATGGGTATCTCCTCGACGAACGGTGTACAATTGTTCGACCGTGTCAAGCTGTTCTTCATGCCGGTGAAACACCATGGATCTGCCAATTACGTGCGACGCGTGCAAACCTACAAGATGCACATATTCACCCTCGTACAAATTCTGTGCCTGGCTGTACTGTGGATCGTGAAGAGCACCAGAGCAGCCCTGGCGCTTCCGTTCTTCCTCGTTCTCATGATACCCCTACGATCTCAGATGAGCCATATTTTTACCGCCTCAGAGCTTAGGGCACTCGACAGCAAAGGATCTGAACATGAGAGTACCGAGGAAGAGCTGGATTTCTACGAGGAAGCTCCGTTACCTGGTTAGATAGTGCCTTATTCGACCTTGTCCACAATAATATCCTTCTTCCCCTACCCTTCGTTCTTTTTCCTCTTCGCCTATCATTCTTCTTCTTCCTCTTCTTCTCCTTCTTCTTCTTCTTCTTATCCCTTTCTTGTTTTCGAAGGATTTGTTCTGTAACTTATGATTCCTATCACTTATCAGAGCGATTCTGAAAATACTAGCGCGAAGTACTTGAGAAGAGAAGAATCTATTTTCGTGAAAGAGCAAATATGTATACCAATGAACTAAGAGAGAGGACATAGATAAGGGGTAGATAAAGGGGTTTCTGATTCCCAACGGTGGTGTTAACTCGTTACATTCGTAAAAATTATTTTTTACTACAAAATTTGTAAATAATCGATGATAACGATGTATCAACAAGGTGAAACGAGAGATATATTTTTACGCGTACGTTAGATATGTGTGTAGGTAGTTGAACAATTCAAATCAAAAGGCACTCTCAGTTTTAATGTAGACTTTAGTTCGATATACTTCTCTTCTTTCCATAGAAAATCAAAAATATATAAATAACACAAAACGAATATTCGGTACCTGCATACACTATTTGATGTATTCGTAATTAAAAGTTAAGATTCGTTTCATCTGTTTTCGATTCGGTGGGAAAAAGGGTGCCTCTGAGTGCCTCTAAAGAATGGTGATGAACTCGACACGTTGCTCAGGAAAATTTAAGCGTAAAAGGCACAAGATACGAGAGTGCCAAATCAAAAGAGCGTGAATTACAAAATGGTGCTGGTCCGTTTATACGGAAGTAACGTTAGCTGAATGAAAACTATATCTTTTATAAAAAAAAAAATGTCCAAGTAGTTTGTCACTAGCTGTTCTCATCGAATGAATATTATAAATCTAATTTCTTTGGGACCGTAACTCATTAGCACTGCGTGCAAAGAATTACAATCATTTAGCAATATCTTTTGAATGTATGTTCTAAAAATTGATCACTATTCCTAGGTAAACGAAACAAAAAACAACTGGTATTTTATAAAGAACTTAAATGTTAGGAATGTAAAAATAATATGACGCGGCAGTTTTCATTACAACTGTGTGTATTTTTAAAGGATCAAATTTATATTGCCTTGCCAATTATTGCGAATCAATTTTTTTCTTTTTCGTCCAAATTTTTCGTTTCTTTCCCCAACTAAAAACTTTTCACGAGTACTTTATCACGCGAAAAATATTGGTAACAATTTAAGTTGATTTAATTATTACAAAGGAGATTAAAAAGGCAGTACAGTTTTATGCAGTAAGATCTTTATTTGTTTATGTTGCACGAACACTTACAATGTTCTGAAAAATCGTACCACTCTCCGGGCATCGAAAAATGGATAACTTTTTATTCTGGATTTTAACATCATGTATTTGATTGCACGAATAATCTAAATGTAGTTGAACAATCGAAGAAGAGGTACCATGAAACACACATTTAGAGAAGTACCTGATAACATCGTAAAAAAAAAAAAATCCAGGGAAAGACGCTTTCGATTCAAGAATTCAAAGAATTACTTCTAAAAAGAAAACAAAAACTTAAGTCGACTTTAAGCCACTTCGAACAGTGTTTATTTAAATCAATCGTCGTGTACTTATTTAAAGATAGTATATAAGCAAAATTAAAGTTAGTGAAACTAAACTATGCAAGCGATAAACTCTTTTAAATATTCACCTTATGTTTTATTTTTCGATATTTAAGAACTGATCAGTATTGGTAGGTATTTTTGCGGTAATTATTAATTTTACAATATTCAGCGTTCCAAATGTAAAATTTCCACACATTAAATCGAGATTAAGCTATAATTATAATAATAATAGTAATAATAATATGTCATCGTATATTGAATACTTGCAATAAAAAAAGAAGAAGAAACACGAGAATGAATATTTTAGAAGCTGTTACATATAAAGAGAAGACATTATATTTTAATTGGTTAAAATATTTTGCTAATCCGCTGAAGTACTTTATTAAATAACACTCGATCCTATTCTGAATATTTCCGCAAAGAAAAAAAGAAGAGAAAAAAAAACAATTTATATAATCGTATGACTTATTTACACAAAAATACGAAAACCACGTTTTCGATAACACTGTGCTGCATAATTGTGATAGAGGTCCAGAATTGTTATAACAACAAATCACTGACAGTACTTACAAGCATGCACTATTAGCATGAAGTTTTTAACACGAAATTTCATTAGATATATTATATCTAGTACATTAACATGTTATTATATACATACCACTGATATTAACTATATTGAGAGATTATCAAGATAAGTATCGATTGTTATGAGTTCATAAATGAATTGTAAATAATCTAGTTATCATACAGTATTAAAGAGTAATAATTAGTACTAGTTTCCTAGTAGATGGTTTATGCCTTAGATTAGAGAACAGACAAATAAAACATCTTATTTCCCCTCTATTCTATAGCCTTGTGAAATTACATCCTTACTATACCGTGTTTCTTATTGTAATTTAACGATTATTAACACCCTTGACTTTTGCTTAAAATCTATATACCTTATAATACAAAACATGTTTGTTTTCATTATGGTATGTTAGAGGTGACAAGGAACTAAACACATGTTCTTATCCTGCACACAATCTTAAAATGGCTTCACCACGAAGGTTAGCGACTAAATTGTGTAGTATATCGCCTCGTGTATTAAAAAATGTGGATGGAAGGTAATGCAATTTTACTATGATATAACATTTCAATTTAGTAGTTACTTCAAAAACATTTCAACATGTTATTTACTATCATAGAACATACTTACATCCAAGAACTCCTTTCAAAGATACTTGTAAGAAAGGTATTGAAAATAAAAATCAACTATCTCCTTTTAACATTGATACTCCTAATAGGAAAAAAATATTGAAAGATGGTCTTCCTACTAAACATGGTATATTTCTTGGAAGTGGTGGATTTGGTACTGTATATAAAGCATCTTATAAAGGTGAAACATTATTTAACGTGCCTCTTTCTAACTAAATTATCATGTTATACCATACATGGTATATTTGAATATTTAATATTCAATAGGTGATCAAGTGGCAGCTAAAGTGATGCAAACAGAAAAATGTTCCAATGTATTGAACTGTGAGAAACATGCTTCTCTTTTAAGGCATTCCAACATAGTGAAAGTATTAATGATAGAAGAAGGTGCTTCTTTGTCTTTAATAACAATGGAATTATGTGGTACTAACTTGCAAGATTGCCTAGATGAGACAATGTTAACTAAAAATGAGAGGATTTCTATATTAAAGGGTGTTACTAGTGCTTTACAATTTTGTCATAATGCTGGTATCATTCATGCAGATGTTAAGCCTAGAAATATCCTCATGTCTGCAGATGGTCAACCAAAGCTTACTGATTTTGGTAGTTCTATATTGATAGGAGAACCAAATGATGACAATGAATTTCATGTATGTATTTATTGTTCAACCATTTTAGTTCTGTATTAAAGATAACCTCTCCTTAGGGTACACCAGGGTATACTGCTCCAGAAGTAATAAAAGGAAATAGACCAACCATTGCAGCAGATATTTACTCTTTAGGCATTGTAGCTTGGCAAATGATATCTAGAGAATTACCATTTGAGGGATTACATAGTCACACAATTATATATCTTTCTGCTAAAGGGCATCGACCCAAAGATAATAATATTGATGATGAATTTAAAGGTATCTATAAGACATTATACAGGAAAATGTGGTTACAGAATCCTACTGACAGGCCCACAACCAATGAAGTAATAAATACTACTGATACATTAATTAGTTCCTAACATTTATTTCAATTAATATCTTCACTTGAAAGATATCTTTATTATTTTGTAGTAAGTATGCTTAAATTAATCCTTAGATTTTTATTTTACAAAACATAAGAAAACGAGTTTTACTTTATGTATCAGGCATTTCTCCACCAGGTACAAGCTACAACAGAAATGGTGATGATAATACAAGTGTTATAAAACAAAGCTTTTTGTATGAAATTAATACAAACAATAAATAATTTTCACAAAATTGAATTCTGAATAATCCAAGATTACTAACCATTGTAATATTGCTTCCATTAAGCAAAATTTGATCGAGTTTGGTGACTCTTCGGCCTTCTGGGGTAGCTTCACTTTCCGTCACATCTTCGAGTAACATGTTTACAAAATCGTCAAAGCCTAACAGAGTACCGACAATTTCTTTATCATTTTTCATGATGATGTGTATCCGTGAACCGATACATTTGTCAACTAATTCTGTAAGTGAATGCAGTCATGTGGTGTACCGCTCAAAAAAATTAGGTTAAAAATACGCTGAAAACAAATATGCATCTTACCTAAGGGTAATAACGTCGATGGATTTGTACTGACAGAACTCGTCATAGTGGAAATATTAATGAGGTACAAGGCAATTAAAAACAAAAATAATAACGCAGCGATATACGCGTTTTTATTCCATGGAGAAATAGCGGGAATACACTCGCGGTATCATACGGTGTAAATAATACTTGAAAATGTGGTAACCTAGACTTACCTTACTAATTGTAGTTTGTAATGTTTGCGCGGGAAACTTTAAAAGTAGGAGCAATTGCCAGTTGGTGTGTTATTTTATTCGGCTTTTTATAAATAATTTTGTCAAATTGAACCTTGTAAGACTCGATTAAAAATACAAGAAAATTTTGAGAAATAATAATCTTCTTAATTATATCATTACACATGAGGTACAGGATAGACCTAACATCCTATAGGATTTTGTGTCCCCGGCACAAGGGCCGAGAAGACTCTTACCATTTTCATGTCGTTCCCAACGTTACCGATTTAGCATAGAACAAAATTACATCAGCAGTGGTTGGAATTAGAATTGAACGTAACTATGAAATTACAAATAAGAAAGTAACGTAAATGTTTATTAGTAGATGATAAATCACATGCGCGTATTCTATTGCTGTAAAAAAATCGTGAACAGTTCTATCTACGCAATCCAATATATTTAGTCGTGTTTACTACGAAGGATAACTCGTTCAGGTATGTAGCAATACAAAAATGAGAAAGACAAGGAAAGGAATACAGGTAGACAAGAATAGCACTCTAAAAATAAGTTAAAGAAAGAAAGGTATACAGGTAGACAAGGATAGCACCAGAAAAATAAGTTAGACAAGGAAAGAAATAGAGGTGGACAAGGATAGCACCAGAAAAATGAGTTAGAAAAGGAAATAAATAGGGGTAAAGAAGGATAGAACTAGTGTAATGAGTAAGACAAGGAAAACAATAGGGATAGACAAGGACAAAAAATTTGAAATACGATACTGCCGCCATCTTGTTTTGGGTGACGCGAACTACGATTTTTTAATAGGAACACAGAATATCAACAGAGGTATTAGACAAGGAACGCAATAGTGTGCGAGAAGGACAGAGAGAAAACGTTTCCTATTGGCTGGCGGGCACCTACGTCATATCTCCCACGGGCTAAATAAGTCAGTTGGGGAAAAATCTTTAATAACTCATTAATTAGGATGATTTTGTGAACTTTTATAATTGAAGAATAAAGTATGGGCCTTCGGCAACTTTCACATGTACTTGTTAGTGCAGTAAACCCTTTCAGTAATTAGTTATTAACAATTTTAGTACGTGATGTCAGGAACGATATCACATACCGGCGAGTACCTTTACGGTTTTTCAATAATTTCATAGCTTTCTACTAAATTCCCATGCAACTAACTGTATTCATCTGAAAGGCAACTCCTTTATCTACATTCTTTTATAAGTTTTATTAACATATTCCATTTAGTTTAGAAGTTATTAAGCATTATATGGGAGCGTCTCCTATACATCGTACTCGTATATAGTGAACTGTTATAAACAATTGCTAATATCAATTAAACCGCACAACTTAGAGCTACAAAACTAATTGCAGAATATCGACAAAGGCCCATTCTACATTCTACATGCTTAAAAGTATATAATTTATCACGCATTTCTATTGATATAACGAAAATGTGTTACGCTTGAATGCGACGTATGTAAACGAATGTAATACGTTTACGGTTTTTCAACGATTTCATAGCTTTCCACTAAATTCCCATGCAAATAACTATATCCGTCTGAAAGGTTAGTCCTTTAGCTACATTCTCATGCTGTTTTTATTAACAGATTCCTTCTGGTTTAAGAGTCATTTAATATTCTTTTGGTGAGTATTACAGTCGTCGCATTCAAGCGTAACACATTTTCGTTATTTCAATGGAAATGCGTCATTAATTATGCACTTTTAAGCATGCAAAATGTAGAATGGACTTTTATTTATATTCTCCAATTAGTTTGGCAGTCGTAAGTGATGTGGTTTATTAGATATTAGCAATTGTTTGTAACAGTTGACTATGTACGAGTTCGAGGAGTACGGGACTCTCCCACATAATATTTAATAACTCCTAAACTAAACCGGAAATGTCAATAAAAATTATATGGGAATGTAGCTAAAGGGGTTGCCTTTTAGACACATATAGTTATCTGCATGGTAATTTAGTAGAAAGCTATGAAATTATTGAAAAACCGTAAAGATACGTGACGGTATGCGGTATCGTTCCCGACATCGAGTACTAAAATTGTTAATAAATAATTATTGAGAGGGTCTAGAGCACTGAAAGCTATATGTGAAAGTTGCTAAAGGACCGTACTTCATTCTTCAATTCTAAAAGTTCACAAAATCATTGTAATTATGAAGTTATTAATGAAAATGACGAAAATGTATTATGCTTGAATACGACGAGTGTAGTACTTACAGAAATAATGTTTAATATCTTGCAAATTACGACAGATATGTTAATGAAACTTTAACGAGAATGTAGCTAAGGGAATAGCCTTTCGAACGCACGTATGAAAGTGGATAAAATATATGTGAAAAACTACAAAATTAATGAAAAACCAGAAGAGTGTAGGTAACGCTGCCGACACTTTGCAAAATAATTGTTAATAACTAATTATTGAGAGGGTCTAGAGCATTAAAAACTATATGTGAAAGTTGCTGAAGGCTCATACTTCATTCTTCAATTCAAAAAGTTCACAATATCTTCGTAATTATTGAGTTATTAATGATTTTTCCCTGGCCGACTTCATCGCCATTCAGAAGATGGAGTTTAGATACCCACCAGCCAATAGGAAACGTTCTCTCACTGTCCTTCTCGCACACTATTGCGTTCCTTGTCTAATACCTCTGTTTATATTCTGTGTTCCTATTAAAAAGTCGTACTTCCAGTCACCCAACACAAGATGGCGGCGGTATCATATTTCAAATTTTCTGTCCTTGTCTATCCCTATATCTTTCCTTGTCTTACTCATTACTCTTCTGCTATCTTTCTCTACTCCTATTTATTCCCTTGTGCTATTCCTAGTGCTATCCTTGTCTATCTTTGCAATTACTATCGTCGCCATCCGAATTATATTTAATCGATTTTTATAATTAATTGTTCATTGCTCTAACATTACTAATAATGCAAGTAGATAATAAAATAAAGATTCTGATTTATTTTCAAGTACTATAATTATAGAATAAGTAGTGTTTCTTGTTAAATAACAATATTCCTTGTTGTATTTTTTACGAAATGGAAATATTTATTAATTACGTTTAAATTAATACATATAAGGTCGTAAATACAGTACACAGATCATTATGAATACATAACACTTATCGAGTGAAAATAATATACAACGAAATGTACAAATTCACCGCTGTAAAGTACAGTCCTTTATACAATTCTCCGATTAAATTAATCATTTTACTAAAACACAAGTTTTATTACTCTATACGTGCGCATCGCTTCTGTACTTTTTCTTCTACTCTCGATATTAAACTGAATCGTATATACCACAGGACAAAATTTATGCTGCATTGCATTAAGGTACAATCAATTGCTTTTGATTGGCTCTCGATTATTTCCAAGATATTACACTTCTCTCATTTTGATTCTCCTCTTTACAAGTTTCATTTCGCGCTATCACGGTCGCTGAATAGACGTAAGATCAGGTCAGCAAGATATCAAACGACTAAACTGTGAGGCTTAGCCATGTACATACACAGATCGCTGAGTGATAATTTTAATAACAATAATTGACGTGAAATAAATATCGCAACGTCTTCTCATAAAGGATTTCCACCCTTCCTATCTTTGTTTAAAATCAGTGGAACTCGTTGGACGTGACAGCGCATAAAATGTTCAATTACAGTAACGTTTGCACGATAACATCAATCAGTCTACTCTCCATCAATCGTAACTTGTTGTAATAGTAAAGTAATCAATTAATCTTCTTCCCGAATAGAGTATATAAATTATATTACATCAACTGACAAACAATTCTCCAAGGAAACATGACACGAAGAACGCGAACGCGTTAACGAAGCAATTCTCCTAAACTAACTTTACACAACTTCCTAACAATGCGTGACCAGTTTTTATTTTTTTACATCTATCGTTACTGCAGCACTGTGGAAGCAAGGAAACTTGCTTAACGACACTCTCGGATAAATATTACAGACGTATAATGACCAACGCGGTACTCCGCGAGTTGTTACTTGTACGACTTTATAGCAGGCAGTAGAAAGGAAGGAAAAAATACGAGGGAAAAGGACAGAACAGGATGGGGGGGATAAAATAGGATATTCTGTACAAAGTTGATTCAAGGACGGGTCGATAACTATGAATCAATTGTCTGTCGATAGTTGAAATAGAAATAGTGTGCTTCCTCGAAAAAACTACGATTGGGTACAAATCACTGTTTTGCGAAACAGTTTACATAGATACGTTCTATCACGAGTAGCGTAACGTTAAAAAATCTTATGCCCTATTAGTCTTGCCCCTATATATTTAATTCTGCGTTTCGTTTATTCAATGTAATCGTTAATAAGGCTTTTTCGATGTCTGACTCTCACGTGTGTAGCAAAAAAGAACATAATTATATATTCCATGAAGTTTCCGTTACATACATTTCTTATACTTGACGGATCAACTGTTACGACTAGCTTGAATAAGATCTCAAAGGCACCCGCACCTTTGTCTTTTATTCTTTCTTCTTTTTCAGCTACGGTTATCGATACGAAACACGATTATAATTTTACGTTCGCTAGGTAATCGCTAAACTGGAAGGACCTACGTTTATTGCGACACGAAGACGGATTTGTATGGTCTCTTACAGTAGAAATGGAGAAACTATAGCAAATCTAAATTCTGCTCCAGACAACTATGCGATTATATAAAGCAACGTTGGAAAAATGGCTTGACGAATAGAAGGAGATTGACTAGCGGTAATCAATAATATATTTTGAAATATAAAAACACTACGTTTATCCAAAAACACCATTATCAAATGGAATTTAAAAAACTGTGTCAAAAATTTTGTTGTCGTATCCACTATGCTTGTTTTTCACCTAATGTTCTCGAGAACGTAAAAGCGGGAAAAGTAACTCGAAGATGCGTGTATTCCTGTACCATCGTTTACCTGGTACAATCTAGTCAGGTAAATTATTTTTCAACACGTAGAAAAAAAGTTTGTGGATATCGAGA